GGTTGGCTCAGGCCACAAGCCTTGGAGCTATCTCTGTTAGTTCTCTGGGGCACCTTTAACAAAGTATACATACTAGATAGTGTAAAATAAAAGAAATTTATTATCTTCCAATTCTGGAGGCTAGACATCTGAAATCCAGGTGTCAGCAGGGCTCTGCCCCCTCTGAAGGCTCTGAGGGAGAATCCTTCCCTGCCTCTTCCAGCCTCTGGTGACTGCTGGCATGCGCCACAGTTCTTGGCCTCTAGCTGCATCACTCTAATTTCCGCCTCTGTAGTCACATGGCTGTCTTCCTTTGTGCATTTCTATGCCCAGACCTCCCTCCTCTTATCAGAATAGCAATCATGGGATTTAGGGCCCACCCTAATCCAGTATGACCTGCAAGGCCCCTGTAATAACCCTGTAAGGTCAAATTCACAGATTCTGAGTGGACATGAGACTTTGGGGAACACTATCCAACCCAGTACACCATCCTTGACTCTTCCCTTTCTCCCATATCACACATTCAAACCTTCATGAGAAATCATGTCCACCCTACTTACAAAATACATCCTGAGTCTAAATGCTTTCCCCACCACCAGAGCTGCCACCTTGGTCTAAACCACCATCACCTCTTGCAGTAATTATTGTGATAGCCTCCTAACTGGTCTCCGTTTGCACACTTGCTTTACCTTCCACTCTTCCGTGCCATTGTCCCCTCTAGCTTAGAGTATTAGAGTCCTCCAACCACTCACCTTAGTCCCTAGTATACCATCTGTTCTCACACAATAGCTTTTCATAGTATTAAAACTCTTGTCACTTTAGTATTCAAAATTTTCCAGTGGCATCCCACACTTCAAATACAATGCAATAATTCTTGCAATTTTTGTACATAATCTAGCCAAAATCTGGCTTGACAGAAAATACAATCAGGTAAGCATTTCTGTTGTATAAACATATGCATGGTATAAATACATTTCCTGATAATTGAACACATATCTCAAGGCATATTTTACTGTGACTTTTCCAAAAGGATTGTGCCAGTTTACTTTGATGAATGTAAATAGTTACATTTAAGCAACAATTTAACTCCTGAGATGAAACTAAACATGTCAAATTATTAGTACAAAAATTCATTTTTAAAAGCAGAAAGCAAGTCACAAGTATCTTATTTTCCACCCCAAAGGTACATTAGAATTATATGGCACAGAATTTCAAATTTAAATGAAAAAAAAAGTGTCTTTTCTTTAGGACTACTATAGTATTTGTATGGAGGTATTTAAACTCTTGATCTTTTGCCTTTCCCAAGAAAGAAATGAGTGATTTTACAAAGTGTAGGGACATTGCATGATTTTAACAATGCTTTTCTTTCAAAAAGTGTACAATAAGTAATTTATCTTATGCAAATGAAAGATAAGACCGCATTAGTGTCTTAATTTTGCTATAACAGATTACTGTAATTTTAGTAACTTAAGACAACACAAATGTGTTAACTTACAACTCTGGAAGTCAGAAGTCTGAAATCAGTATTATTGGGGTTAGTATCAGTATCAGTATTATGGGGCTAAAATCAAGGTGTCGGTAGGGCTCTGCTCCTTCCGAAGGCTTCGGGGGAGGATTCCTACTCTTGCCTTTCTCGGCTTCGACGGGCTGCCCTGTCACTGACTCCTGGCTTCCTTATCATGTCTCCTCTGACTCGCTGGCTTCCTTCATTCTTGTACAAGACCCTTGTGATTTTTATATTGGGCCAACCTGGATAATCCAAAATAATCTCCCATCTCAAAACTATCAATTCAATCACAGCTGCAAAGCCCCTTTGTCATGAGAAGGGACATATTCACAGGGTCTGAGAGTGAGGGCACATTGCAGACGTCGGTGGGGGGGGGCCTGTGTCAGCCCATTACAAATGCTGTCATTAATTTTGAGACACACTGCACCTCTTCCAACCTGTGTCTTAGCTAATTAATATTCTGTCAGTTGGAGGCTTGCATTTCCTTAATTAGGTAAATTATTAACATTGAGATTATCACTGTATTGCTAGTGTGCAGAAGCTGGAATTGTTGATAGAATTTGAGGGGCAAAATGAGTAATAGATAATTAAATTAAGCCCTTATTAAGATTAAAGGGGCAATTTGACCTCACAATGAAAGTTGATTTAACTCTGCATTCTGAGTTGCCATTACCACTAAGTTAATTAGCTAAATACTTCCGAGAATTTCCCCAATTTGTCTGGGTATTGAAGGACATAATATATACTAAAGTCAATTGTTACTGAATTTGGATATTCCCTCTATTCGCTGAACACTTAATTTGGAGTCACTGTTTCCTACAAAAACACTACCAGACATGTCTGCCTCCTTTTTCAAATCTCAAAAGTAATTGAATTTGGTAAAGAAAAGAATGTATGGCTTCTTTAAATTGGTTGCCATTATTAGGAATTTCAACCAAGAAGAAAAGAAAACAATTTTCTCTGGCCTTTCCCCTTCATTTCTGTGGCAGTATCATAAGTTTTGAAATGTAAATAAAGAACCCAAAATTGTAGAGTTTTTCCCACCCTCAGAAGGCATATGGACAAGCTTTCTGAGGGTGGGCATTTCACAAACATTTCCCATAGCAATAGATTCTGAATCTGGCAGGATCAACTCTAGTCTGAAACTGTTCTTGCTGATTGATTTTTAAAGCATTATACAAAAGAATTCTGGCATCCTCTTGCCAGAAATGAGAATCCTCTTGCTGTTCTCTCTGTGCCCTAGAGAGAGAGTGAAAGCCAGCAGGTTTGAAGGGAAGTGCTGAAAAGTTAGAAAGTTTACCTCCCTCTTTGAGTTGTTAGCATGCTTCAAAAACTACCACAAAATGTTTAGAGTAAAAACTCCATGTTTAAGCATTACTTCATAGTAAACATTGACATTAATTGTAAATTCTAGAATGAGATTCAGAAGAAAGTCATCAGTGGGGGTGAAGGGAGACCAAACCAAATCGGGTGGTTCTTTTTCCTCTAGTAATTAGGTTGATGGAGGCGGGGATCTGAAAAGAGGAGAAGAGTCTATATTTCCATGTCTTGCCTTTTATAGTTCTAATGGTGGGTTGGCAAGCAAACAAGGAGAGGTATGAGTGGTCCAGTTCTCAAACGATTCCGAAAAGCTGTTTTGAAGTGATGCTCTCCCAATGTAAGTTTTATCCTCTGTCAGCAACATGGGTTAAGAGCTGCTGTGTTCTGTTGATCTAAGGTGCACATTTTTTCACATTTTAAGTTTCCTAAAATCAGGATTTGTTTTACAGTTGGTGGCATCTTACAAATCCTTGGGAGCAGTTTTCTGTCCTAGTAGTACCTGAGCTAATGCAGCCTCATACAATTTTGAAGGCATGTTACACTTGATCAGATACAGTATTTATTATGGTGCTTTATTGAAGTGCTTTCTCGGTACCGATGTGCTTGGTGATTTCTGTCTTCAACAAAAAGTTTGCACAAACCTTACTTCCCAGCTAAATATTCCACGTATAAAGAAGTTTTAGGACTCCCATGTACCAAACAACAGTTTGGGTTTGGGGAATTCAGGATTTAAAGGTGGAGAAGTCATTTCCATCTGTAAGTATTCTCCTGAGTTAACTGAGTGGTTCTCGCTCTGTGTGCATGACTGCCAGCCGAATCACACTGGCAAACCATTAACCTTAGAGACGACCTGAGATAGGATTAGAGGCAACTTCTTTATACTTTCCTGTTTCACTGAATTTTCTTTAATGAATAGATATCAATATTACTTTTTTGTTTAAATTCTAAGTGCTACTTAATAAAATAGAACAGTCCTTGGGTCAAGAGCATAATAGTAGCATTCTTTTAATGATATTTACTGTCAAATCGTATACTTTGTATATTTTCAGCATATGTTATATTATTTATACCTCAGTAAAGCTGCTTTGTTGTTGCCGTTTTTTAAGAGTCATAGTTGAAAAGAGAAAACGTGTTCAACCTCATTAGTCATTAGGGAAATACAAATCAAAACCAGAATGAGAAACCACTTCACATCCACCATGATGACCAGAGTAAAATTTTTTTGAATTAAAAGACAGAAGATAGATTCTGGTGAGGATGTAGAGAAACTGGAACCCTCATATATTGCTAGTAGGAATGCAAAATGATTCAGCCACACAATAATCCAAGGAAGACAGTTTGGGAGTTCCTCAAAACATTTAACATAGAATTACCATGTGAACCTGCAGTTCTACTCTTAGATGTGTCCCTAAAGGATTGAAAATAAGGACTCAAACAAGTGCATGTCCATGTGTTTATGGCAGCTCTATTCACAATAGCCAAAGGGGGAAAACAGCCCAGATGTGCATGAACAGATGGATGGATAAACAAACTGCTGTGTGTGCATACAGTGGAATATTATTCAGCCAGAAAAGGAATGCACTACTGATACATGCTATGACTTGGATGAATCTCTAAGACATGCAAAGTGAAAGAAGCCAGGCACAAAAGGCCACATATTTTTTTAATTCCACTGCCATGGAATATCTAGAATAGATAAATTCATAGAGACAGGGTGCTGATTGCTGATTGGTGGTGCCAGGGACTGAAGGGAGGGGACCATGGGGAGACGCTGCTTAATGCCAAGGAGTTTTACTCTGGAATGATGGAAATATCTTGGAACTAAGAAGAGTTGGTGGTTGTACAACATGGTGAAATGTACTGCCTACATTTCACCATGTTGTACAACCACCAACTCTTCTTGGTGGTACTGCATGCCACTGAACTGCCTACTTTAAAGTGGCAGCTTTTGTATTATGTGAATTGCACCTCAATAAACAAAACAAAAAGTCCATGATACAGAAGAGAAGTGATTGTGAACTATATTACCACAACGTAACAATCACATTCATGTAAATGCTTTTCATTGTAGTAGCTGGTAGAAATTATGACTGGTGATTAGTTTCTGAATGATCAGGAATATATCTCACATTCAACTTAGATTTTGGAAGTCAAAATAAGAAAATTAATTGATATTGCTTTTTTTTTTTTTTAGGAGTCTCAGCTCATTTCCTCCGGACACAATAATCCAAGTAAGAAGGCTTCTCTCTGTAGCGTTATGAGTGGGCGGTGGAGGCAGCAGGGGCAAGTAGGGGAGATGCATGCAACAAACATTAGGTAGAAAAGAATTTCACTAAAAAACAAAATCAGGTGGGGGAAAGAGGGTCGTTTGTTCACGTACTTACAAATGTCTGAGACGCATGGTGACTTTGAGGGCTCCTCTGTTTTTTTCAGGGGAAGGAGGGATGAAGCACAAAACGGTGGGTTTCAAAGCAGTCATGGGCTGAAGGAACATCATTCTTATTACAGTTGGTTTCTGGTATATGTGGAGGGGAACAACTTTTTAAAGGCACTAATGAGTTATATAAATTGAAAGAAAAGATTGGTACCAGTCAGAAGAGAGAGAACCAATCAGAAGACCTCAAGATTAATGGCCTTAGAATTCATAAAGAAACCATGCCCTCTCCCAGAGACAGAGTGTCTAGGAAGGAATTTCCTTATTGAATCCAGTGTCTAATAAAACACACAAGCTTCATTGTCAAAGAGAGGATGTTATCATTCCATGAGGTAGTGTTTTCATTCTCTTCTTTGGCACTACTAGTTGCTACTAATGTTTTCTTGAGCATTAAAAACACACAAGCTGTCTCATTCATGTCACGAACACCATCCACAGAGACTGGGGTCTGTTAGTCTGTGACCAGCCAGACAGCTGAGAGTACCCCTTGCCAATTGCAAAGCTGTGTTTGAACATGAAAATCACTCTGAGCTAGTAGATGTATCTTTGGAACCGAGGCTCACCCACTGAGCACCTGTGAGGGCAGAAGGGTTGGGGAGAAAAGACATTCAGACAGATGTGTCAGAGAGTCCCAGACTTTTCATGCTTATCTAGAGAAAGGTCAGGGTAGGGCAATGATGGCGCAATGATGCATAGGCAGTATCACTTAATCATCTCACCCTCTGTTGGAATTTGCTGTGAGCACTGGTACCAGTGAAGAGGAGAAATGCCAAGAGACTTGAAATCTAAAGAAAATAATAAATTCAGCAGTAATAAAAGGAATCAGAAGAAATGCACGGTTAAGTCCATGAGGTGTGCAGGCATCAGCATCACGTGCCAAAGACTAAAGCATACTGAACAAGTTGTTCTTACTTGCCTCATCATTTCTTCCCGTTTGAATTTAAACAGCTCAGCATAGAGGGAGGATATAACAGGTGAACAAATGCACCTTCTCTCAACTTGGGGTTTTTGACATAGAGAAGAACAAAGGAGCCCTCACTGATGTGGCTCAGTTGCTTGGACCATTATCCCATAAACTGAAAGGTCACAAGTTCGGTCCCTGGTCAGGGCACAGGCCTAGGCTGCCGGTTTTGTCCCCTGTCAGGTCATGTACAAGAGGTAACCGATTGATGTTTCTCTCCTCCTCTCTCTCTCCTTCCCCTCTCTTCTCTCTAAAATCAGTAAGCATGCCCTGGCTGATGTGGCTCAGCGGACTGAGTGCCAGCCTGCAAACCGAAAGGTTGCCAGTTGATTCCCAGTCAGGGCACATGCCTGGGCTGCTGGCCCAGTCCCCAAGTTGGAAGCGTGTAAGAGGCAACTGACTGATGTTTCTCTTCTTCTCTTTCTCCCTCCCTTCTTCTCTCTCTAAAAATAAATAAATAAACCTTAAAAAATTAAATGAATAAGCATGTCCTCAGGTGAGGACTTAAAAAGAAAAAAAAACGAGATAAGTGTTGTCTCTTCCATATGCCGCACCTTCACTTACCTTGACTTACATTACTTCACTTAATCCCAGCAATATCTGTATCAGGGAGGCATTATCATCCCCATTTTGCACATAATGAAAATGAGATTCTGAGGTTAATAACCATCCTAGTTTTTAGTGACTGAAAGTGACAGCTAGGATTTAAACGCAGGGATGTCAGCCCCAAAGACAACAGACTTTCCATCCCATTACCTTGACCCCAAAAAGGTTGCTCTGCTAGTTCAGTGTGAGATTGACTTCTTGTGCAATAACTATATGCTGTGATTTTTGTGTTCACCTGGCATATTTTTGCAGCATGTCATAATACTGACATGCTAAAACTGCATCTGGATTATGCAAAAGCAGACCCATGCCTATGGAATGTGATGTGGCGCCTGCCTAGTGTGGTATGAAACCCTCTGGCACTTCATCACTTGAGGAAGTCTGTGATTGGCTTTTTCTTTTGTGGGGATAGGGAGATTATTTTCTTTGTACTTTTTAAAATAACCCCTCCGCCAAAGCCAAGCACATCTGTATAAAGGTAATATCACTAAAAGCCTGAGCATTCACACAGGTCATAGCACACTTGAAGCTTTAGAAGAGCTGGTCTCACCAGCACTTCTGTGCTATTTCCCATACTATTTGGTTTGGAATCCTTAAAGTTTTGGAACTGTGACTCTAGTAAAAATGTAGAAAATAGAAAAAAAATGTACTTCAAAAAAACCAAACACAAAATGTGTGTGTGGCTTGATGAACTAACCTTCACCATTTTAGGTCAGTGCTTTTATTTTCTTTTTTGAAATTAGAAATGTTATATAGATACTAAGAGAAAAGAGTATACAAAGTAAACAGAAACTTATCTTTAATTCGAATCTTTTAAAAGATAGATACTTTAGTCAGTTTGCTGAATTGCTGGTTAATTTCATTTAGCTTTAGCAAATAAAAGCTTATTACATAGTGAGAAACAAATATAAAACTGGTGACCTATGTCCACATTTTATTAAAGTTTGGAGCGTATCCTGTTCAAGTAGCAGACTGAGTATAAGCGCTTTTCTGCTCCTTCATAATTCCCATTTAAATAACCACAAAGGTACAGTGGTGGAAATAAATTTGTAACAGCACTGAGGACAGAAAGGGATGCATCAACAAACCAGAAATTCAGTTGAGTTTCTGGAAAACAGAAAGTACATAGGACCCTCCTATTAAATAATCCTGCATAGGGAAGGTCACGACCAGAAAAGGAAAACCATGGAATGACCAGAAACAAGCTCTAGCAGTGGTGGGAGACAGTCTTCAGGAGCTGCGCGCAAAGTCCCACTCAGTCTCATGGAGAACAGGCATGGAGTGCAGACCGTGGGAGGCACCTGGCCGCTCCTTCTTCCACCTATGACCCTCTCTCCATCCTGGTTCTCATACAGAGCTTTCCATCTGGATTTCCATGCCCTCCCCCACCCAAAAAAAAGCACCAAAATACCAAAAACACAGTACCATTTGCGAAAAAAAATGAGCAGTTGACTGGATAGAATTCCTAGTTGGGAGTTGATACCTAAAAGGGAAGGAGAATAGATTCTGAGATAATACTAGACCTTAAAAATAGAGTGGTGGAAGAAGAGTTAACTTTTTTCAAGCTGGGGATGAGCAAAAATGCCACATGTCCACACGTCCGAGTAAAGTACTTCTTCTAATTTGGCGGGGATGGAGGGGGGGAGTTGATGACATGATAAGGGTTCCCGGCTGGTCTCAAGGTCTGTCTTCTCCTGAACCCTAAATGTCCCAACTCACATACCCTGTCCACTTACAAAGAGCTCTAAATCAGTTGTTTTCTGCAAGGGATATGTGTTTTAAGAAAATAGATCAATATGCTTATATAGGAAATCCATATCCATTAGCTTTGTTAACCAACCTGTTATCATTCAAAAACACAAATGTGTAATCAGTTAGCACCAAAATGAAGGACTGACTCCAGAGGAAATCTACTTAATTCAAGAAACAGAAGAAAAAATGTCAAGTATAATTACAGTCTTCAGAAACATTTGAAATTATTTGTATTAAATAAAGAACAGAGTGGTATGAAAAAGAAGCAGTTACAGTACAAATGAGTACTTGAGAATTAAAAATATGGTCAACAAAAAATTATTAGAAATGATAAGTAACAGCTGAAGTCTAGAATCTGTGATATAAAGCTGAAAACTTTTTTTCTGAAAATATAGCAAAAAGCAGATGGAAAATATGAAAGGAAATTAAGATACATGGAAGATCAATCAGGGTGAAAAGGTCAAAATCCAGCTAGTAGGAATAACAGGAAAAGAAAACAAAATGGAGAATAAATAATAAGAGAACTATAATTCCAAGAGAAATGAGCAACTCATTATCACAAACACTGTACAATGAAATAAGAGACCCTGAACAGGAAAGAGTACTTACTTTAATTTCCAGAAATGAGAAGATTGAGAATATAGTTGAGAACAAGAAGATTTGAAGAAGTACTAATCAAAACCTCTAGAAACAATAAAATAATATTAAATTATCATTTCCTTGGTCAGGTTTAACAGCAGATTGGATATTGTTGAAAAAAATTAATGAATTGGGAAAAATTAATGAAGAAATTCTCTAGAATGCAGCCTAGAAACAGAAGTGGAAAATATAAAGTGTAAGTCAAGAAATATGGGGGATCAAGTGAGAAAGTCTAACATATATTTAAGTGGAATTTCAGAAAGAGGTACAGGAACAGATGAAATATTAAAGAAGAGAATGGCTGAAAATTATTTTTAGAATTGAAATACACTAACCTACAGATTTGAGAAACCCAGTGAATATTAAGCGGAATATATAAAAAGAAGTCCACACTAGACACATTATATGTAGTTAATCTGCAAACCACATAAAGAAACAGTTTTTAAAAAGCCCTTTAATACCTTCAGAGAAGTGACAGTTAAACTTCCGCTTGACTTCTTTCTCAGCAGCAGCAGTGGGAGCCAGCAGACAGTGAAATTATAACTTCATTTATGTGTATGTGGAAATTGATGAGGTAATTTGGAAATTTATTTGTTAGAACAAATGGCCAAAAATAGCTCAGATGCTCTTGAAGAACAACAGGGTAGGAGCATTCATTGCCTTGCCAATATTAAAAATAAGTAAATATTTTTAACTATGTAATAGACAGTAATAGACAAATTGAGCAATGAAGGAAAATGTAAGACCTAGAAACAGACCCCCAAACATATGAAAATTAGATCCCTGACAGAGCTGAAGGGCAGATCAATGACGAAACAATGGGCTTCTCAATAGATAGTACCAGAATAATTGGTTATCTATGAGAGAAATGAAATTGCCCATTATCATATTTTTAAAAAACTATGCCAGGTATTTGTAAAAGATCTAAATGTGAATGGTTTAGGTACACACTTTTCGAAGACAATGTGGAACATATATCTGGTGTATCTCTTACAACACCCAAAGGTATCAAGTACAGGAAAATATTGCTAAATTCAAATAAATTACAATTGAGAATTTGTAATCATCCACAGATACCAGAAAAAGACTCACACTGGGAAAAGTTACTTGAGGGTGTGTGTGTGTGAGTGTGGGTGACAGAGAATGTAGCAAGACAATGAAGTTCTTCTATGAGTTAAAAAAATTATAAAAATATGGCTTTTTTTAAGAAATGAGGACTTCCGCCAAGATGGAGGCATAGGTGGAAACATTGTGCCTTCTCGCACAACCAAGTTTAAAGATAATAAAGTTTTAGTAACAAAAAACGCAGCCAAAACACAGAAAATTGAACTAGACGGAAGTCAAACAACAATGAACCCTTCAGCCAGACCAGTAAGAGGGGCAGAGCCATTGGCTGGCGGAGCAGGGTGCACAGGAAAGATCCCCCAACCCAGGCAGGCAGGCAGGCAGGCAGCCACGCGTGGACCCCAGGTGTGGAGTAGCAATGGATGGACCCAGTGAGGGCGCAAGGCGGCAGGCTGACCACAGTCACACATTTGCATGCAGATGGAAGGAAGCAAGCAGTGAGCAGACCATGCAGGCCCCAGTGGCGGGAAGCAGCAAAGGGGACCATTATTGTCCCTCTCTGACCCCGCTCCCACATACAGCATCACAACCCAGCGACCTGGGGGGCCCTGCCCTGGTGACCACCTAGGGCTTCGCTCCTCATACGTAACAGGCACGAACAGACCAAAACATGGTTCAAGAACTCAAAGCCCCAGAGCTGATAACTCTAAGCAACCAAGAAATAGCCAAACTTTCAGATGCACAGTTCAAAACACTGCTGATCAGGATGCTCACAGAACTGGTTGATTTTAGTCACAAATTAGAGGAACAAATGAAGGCTAAACTAATTGAAATCAAGGGAAATGCACAGGAAAGTAATAGCGATGGAAAGGAAACTGGTACTCAAAGGAGTGGACCAGAAGGAAGAAAAAAATGACCAAACAGAAAAGAATGAAGAAACAAGAATTCAAAAAAATGAAGAGAGGCTTAGGAACCTCCAGGACATCTTTAAATGCTCCAACATCTGAACTATAGGGGTACCAGAAGGGGAAGGGGAAGAGCAACAAGTGGAAAACTTATGTGAACAAATAAATAAAGAACTTCCCCATTCTGGCAAAGGAAATAGACTTCCAGGAAATCCAGGAAGCTCAGAGAGTCCCAAAGAAGTTGCACCCAAGAAGGAACACATCAAGGCACATCAGCATTACAGTAGCCAAGATTAAAATGAAGGAGAGAATCCTAGAAGCAGCAAGAGATAAGGGGACAGTCACCTACAAAGGAGTTCCCATCAGACTGTCAGCTGATTTCTCAAAAGAGACCTTACAGGCAAGAAGGGGCTGGAAAGAGGTATTCCAAGTCATGAAATCCAAAGACCTACAACCAAGATTGCTCTATCCAGCAAAACTTTCATTTAGAATGGAAGGACAGATAAAGTGCTTCTCAGATAAGATCAAATTCAAGGAGTTCATCATCACCAAGCCCTTATTATATGAAATGTTAAAGGGACTTACCTAAGAAAAAGAAGATAAAAAAGATGAACAGTGAAAGGACAGCAAACTCACAGTTATTAACAACCACACCTAAAACAAAAGCAAATTAAGAGGACAGCTAGATCAGGAGCGGAACCATAGAAATGAAGATCACATGGAGGGTTAGCAACAGGGGAGTGGGGGGAGGAGGAGAAGGGGGGAGAAAGTACAGAAAATAAGTAGAATAGACGGTAGGTAGAAAATAGATGGGGGGAGGGCACAAATAGTATGGGATATATGTAATCTAAAGAACTTGAGACACATGTTCATAAACTAAAGGGAGGGATGGTAGGAGGGTGGAGGGGAATGAAGGGGAATAGAACAATTAATGGCATAATCAATAAGATATATTTTTTTAAAAAGAAAGAAATGAGAAGGAATGTTACTAAGGAGCAAGCACAGAATATCTACTTCATTGATACACACATGCAAATATTACACTGAAACATCTCTAGAAACGTCTCCTGAGTGACCAGCTTAAAAAAATTTCTTATGGAGAACTTTCTAGCTTGCATGAGTAATTTTCCCATATGTCCGGATAAAGAAGCTATGACTCTTAATGACCTAGGCACTTGAACATTTCAAGTGAACTTCAGAAATTGCATCACCTAAAACTGCAGGATGTTGGAGAGAAATTTGTGTTTCATTCTTTCTGAAGGACAGAAACAGTTTGCATCCCTTTTTCCACCCTGCACTTATTTTCCCCCAGAAAGGTCCATTTGTTGTCAGCACTGAAGGTGCTGAGTGTACTCACTCTCCGGCTGTTCGTAAATGTCTTGTTTAGCCCTGCAGTATCCTTCCTGTTTGCCAGAACCTACTCTGTTTTCCCTGTTGCCACAACATAAGTGCTGCTAAGAGCAGAGATAATCCGCGCAGCTTGGTCCCTACGCTGGGCCAGCCCGCGACTCCCACAGTCCGGGTCCCATGTGCAATAAGGCCTGTGTCCTCTCAACCTGTGGGTTCTTTGGCAGCAGTGTTGGTCAAGGTAAAACATGTTTGTTCAAACATCCAAACAATGTCTTTGTTTATAGTCTCAGTTTCCTGTTTTCTTGTCATAAGTTGTTTGGGAATGTTTACTGTTGCCAGCTGCTGTGAGCTTGGCTGTTCTGCACTCCTTACTGTGATTGTGTGGTGTGACTACTGGCAGTGACAGACTGGGGAAAGCAATCAATTTCTCCAAATTAAAGGTGGGGGGAGATCAATATGTGACTTAAATTTCCATTAGTGTTGTTACATAATGCAGGTGTTGTAACTCTATTTAAGGATTCTGGCAGGAATTGTGGCCACTCAGTGGAAAAATGATTCTGGAAAGGACTAAATTAGGTTATTTTCCAGCTCTAAAGCCAGTTGATGAGGCCTTGCATGTCTCCTAAGTGAGCACACCACAGACCTGGCCTGGGAGACAGAGCATAAATGTATGAGCTGTGAAGCTGGTTTATTAATTTGCTGCCTTTACTTATACTTCAACGTGGTTCATAGGAATCAGGGCTCTGTCTAATCAGTGTTTGTTATTGAGGCAGTTACACAGATGTTGTTCCTTTTTGATGAGTCGCTGTGTAGATAGAGACCCATTAGTGCCGAGTTATATCTAAGATAGATGTGTGAACTGTATATAATGGTCTTTTTTTCACAACTATTTAATTTCCCAAAAGAAAAAAAGAAGATGCTATCAAGTTTCCTTTGGGGTTCAGTTTGGATAATACCTCAGAATGTGGTCCTCACACTCTATGGAAAATGGTCCTGAGACAAGTGCTGGCTGACAGAAGGGGCTTGGTACAGTGCATGGGTCTGGGCCCTAGAGAGGATGGCAGCGGATTCTGTGAGATCTCCAGGCCTGACTCAAAAGAGCAAAGGAAAACAGGTTGCCACCTTCAGGCCCATTTCTTACAACCCACAGCCTTCTCTGAGGTTTATTAAACTATTAGCTTGGCACAACCATCATAACCACAGCCAACTCACACTGGCAACCATGACCCTACTCCTTCTATCTCCTGCCTCAAGGAAATAAAAAGCTGCACCTTACCTCATGAGGATGCATGGTTCAAACCACCCGTGGTTGAGGATCTAAGAATTAATGCTGTGTCCTTGCAAGAAGCATTTGCCTTTTAAAACTACAAAAAGTGACTTGTTCCAGGTTCCCTCAGTTAAAATCCTATTAAATCCTTAATGCCCACCAGTGAAACATTTCTTTACTAACCTGTCAGATAGATAAGATTTCTGGTTTACATCTTATTAGGCATTAACTGGGGGGGCCCCCAAACCTGTGCAAGGGCTCTTGGTCGGGTACAATTCTTGGGGACCCTGTAACCTCAGAAAAATGCTCTTCTCCGAGTTCTGATACAGCCTGATCTGGTTTGGCTTATATTAGCAAAAGGGATCGAAGTTCAAAATGCCTTGATGTAGAATGCTAATGGAATTTATTTCCTTAAATTTTCTGTAAAAGAAGTGGAAGGAAACAGGTTCCATCTGTAAGATACTCATCTTCTGGCAAGGTCTCCACTCTGAGCCTCAAGTTGTTCATAAACAGCTCCTTAGAACCTACTCCCAGATACATAACTGGGCAATGGTATTACAGAAATTATGTTGCAGATCTGGTTCTCAGACAATAAAAATGTTTTAAAAGCCTTCTTCACATTTTGAAAAATTGTTAATAGGAGCTTGGGAGCATATTTAATCTCTCTTAAAATTTAAAGACTGTAACACTCACATGTATTTTTTTCCTACTTCCTTTTTAAGAGAAAGGTGATGCTGAGCCAGAGAGTCCAGACAATGGCACCTCGAATACATCGTAAGTCTCTTTGCTCTTTCTGTTTGTCACAGTGATTCTTTAATGTGCTGGTAACATGAAACAGGGCAAGGCTCTTATAGTAGTTGTAATAATAATGGAAGGAAGGCTGTGGTTCTCCTCATGGTAATGTCTTTATAAATGCTTCAGAGTGCACATGCGTTTGGAGGTCTTTCTTATGCTTTATTACAGTAAGAATAATCTTGAAAACAAAAATGCTTCTCTTCATAAAGTACAAATATAATAAGATGTGAGGGTACATATTGGTGGGGAGAAGAGAGGGAACTTTGTTTGGAGACTTTCGTCATAACTGTTATAAATAATGTAGAACTTCTCACACGTACTGGGAGATACTCTATCCTACATACCTGTGAAGTGCCATTGTCATTTGAAAAGCCTGCCATCAGCAACCTCACCTTGGAACTATGTGAAAAGTACAGTTATAGATAGCTATGGAATCTCATGAGTTTGTTGATGTTTTTGAATTAACAAAAGCAGTTTTGAAAAGATTTTTTATGATAATTTTATTTTTTAAGACTTTACTTATTTATCTTTAGAGGGGAAGGGAAGGAGAGAGGGAGAGAAATAATGTATGGTTGCCTCTCAGGCATGTTCCCTGACTGGGAATCAAACTGCGATCCTTTGGTTCACAGGCTTGCGCTCAATCCACTGAGCTACACCATTTAGGGCTAAAAGATTTTTTAAAGACATTCATAAAACACATGTTCCTCACTCTACATTTTGCATTTTTCCTCTCAGTACTCGAGGAATCCTTATACATTTTAATGATTAATTTCATACAAGATTTATATACCAAAGTTTACCCCTGAACCACCAATGCCCTGATTTATATACCAAAGTTTAAAAGAAATAATTCATGAGCTAACAAATTATTTTAGGAGTCACTAAAAGGTTTGCCCTTTGAAAATTTTTATTATAACTCTGAGGGGTGACATATGGTTTCTTATTCCATGACATGTTTGTGAATTTATCTTTATGTGGATCAGCACTCTTATTACTAAACATGTAAAATGCTACTCAGTAGCAGTCAGAGTTTGTGACATAATATTATTGAGTGTCTCACTTTCTCTAAGACACATTTCTCTGTCTAGAAAAATCCTTTGGATTGCATAGAATGGGTATATGTTGCATAAAGTATATGATTTTATGTTTGTCTTCCTTAAGATGTTACTCTGAAAGTTCCAAACAGTTTCATTGTTATGATTTCTGATGATATAATAAATGTGACTAGTTTTAAATGATTAAAATATCACTAACTTTTACATTTTTATCCTGCATAATATAATGGGGAAAGGGTTTTAATGCCATCTGGAGGCATTGTAGAGAATTGAAAAAGGTAGAATCATTTAAAAATTTGGTTCTTTCAAATAACATTTGAGACTGGGTAAGAATTTATACAACTAGAATATGAGCTATTTGAGAGTAAATTATATATTTCTATAAATAATATTATAAAAGTGCTAATTGTAGACATAACAATTTTTAATTCTCACTAAAAATATCATTTCAAAAACAGACAAAGGAACATACATACAAAATATATTGGAAAACTTCCAACTTCCTACATTTAATTTTACAAATTTTAGAATCTCATTCAGTAGACACCAATTTTGTTAATGCAGTTTAATGTACCATTTAAGTTCTTCTTCCCTTATGCATTTATAAAAAAAAGTCTGTTCTCTAAGAGAATTGGTTTCCATACATCAGTACCTTATGAAAATAAATGTGTTGTCTGAGAAATTGTTTTAAACATTCTAGATATTTGAGAGCAGTGAAAACTTTGAGCATTGCCCCCACATTCCTACCTCTTAGTCATTGACCTCACCTGCGTCTTGAATTAGAAATAGCAGAAATAAAACTGAGGTTGCATGGCTATCTCTCAAAAGCAGAGAACTGTGAACCTGAGCCTCTCAAAGAGCTCTCCAACAGCAGTCCTGTAGTAATTAGACAGGAGGAGCAGCATGTAATAAAAAGCAAGGATTCAGAGTGCCTTAGATTTATAACCGTTTACATTCTTTGTACAGAGCCTTATTTAAGCTTTATTTTTTAAGTAGACAGGTATGGCAGGGACAGACTCGTAAAAGCCATTCAACTTAAGTTAAAAATAATTGGGGTATTTTGCTTTTCTGCCCATTTACCATACTGAGGAGTCAGTGGATCTTAGTAAACAAAGAAAAGCCATGTGTCAGAATCAAGTAGAAAAATAAGGGTCAAATTATTTGTTAAATGGTAAGTGTATTAGTTTGCTAGGGCTGCTGTAACAAATACCACAGACTGGGTGCCTTACGCAAAAAAAAAGTATAATCTCATGATTCTGGAAGCTGGACATCCAAGATTAGTCAGTAGGATTGGTTTCTTCTGTGAAAGAAGGATCTGTTCCAGGCCTAGTGACTTTATCTGTAGATGGACATCTATATCCCTGTGTCCCTTCATATCACCTTCCCTCTAAGCATGTCTCTATGTCCAGATTTCCCCTTTTTATAATAATACCAGTTATAATGAATTAGGGCCCACCCAAAAGACCTTGTTTAATATGATTCCCACTACACAGACCCTGTCTTGAAATGAAGTGACATCCTGAGAGGTTGGGACTTCAACACATGATTTGGGGTGGGGAAGGGGATTCAACTCATAACGTTAAGGGTTAGAGTAATCAGAATGATTCAGAAGCCAAGTAGGCAGAACCAGGAATGTACAGATGCCAGGAGGTAGAACAAGGGCAGAGAACCTAAGTAAAACATCAAAATGATGAGCTCCATGGGAGCAGAAGGGATGAAGCAGAGCAAAAAGAAAACCGTTGGTAACACACCCAAGCGCTAGGAAAGACATCATTTTCACATTCACGTTCTGGTGGCTCAGACTTGGCTTCAGTAACGCTCTGCATTCCTCTGTCTGTATAAGTCCATGGCCCTGTGAGTCATTTAAAACTATCGTATGGGTTTAAATTAAAGTATAAAGTTTGGAGTCTCCAGACAGAGAGCTAATTTCCTGGAAAAGACTCTTTCCTCACCAGAGATTAATTAAGCAAAAGATTAATCATGGTAAATTTTAGACAATCATTGCCTGATATGACAAAGTAATCTGAATAACATCTGAAGATCCCTTCAGGAGGTATTATTTAGTGATTTTATGAGTATTCATAAAGATGAAAAGTGTAGTTTATTCTTAACACAAAAGAACTGATAAATTTGAATTTCTGTAGAGTACCAATTATGTTAATGATGGGAGCCCTTCTATTGGGTTAACTTTCCTGCAGATAACTATTATAAACTCTGGACAAAATACTTTTTAAACTCTCAGAAGGCAGAAAATGTTGGGAATTTGATCCTTGAAAGAAGAAAATTGGATGGGGTGAGATTTACATTCATACAGCTTCCTCCCTGAGAGTTTGTAGATCCACATAGAACAACGAGAACTCAAGGAGAAAACCTTAATCACATTGGCATGAAGTATCAGAGGATGGAATTCAGGGCTGTGAGAGTAAGAAGACAATGTCAAGAGAATGAGAAGGCTGAGAGAAAATGTTTGCGAAAGACATCTGATAAAGAACTGATACTCAAAATAAACAAAGAATTCTTAAACACTCAACAATGAGAAAACAACCCAATTAAAAAGTGGGCCAAAGACATTAACAGACTTCTCAAGAAGAAATACAGATGGCAAATAATCATATGAAAAGATGCTTCACATCATATGTCATCAGGGAAATGCCAATTAAAATAGTGAAAACCCAGAACACAGACAACACCAAATGCTGGTGAGGACGTGGAGCAACAGGAACTCGCTCGTACGCTGCTGGCGGGAACGCGAAGTGTTCGGGCCACTTTGGAAAACAGTTTGGCAGTTTCTTACAAAACTAAACACACTCCTTGGTGTATATCCAAAGTTGCTGAAAACATATCCACACAAAAAATTTACCTCAATTTAAAAAAATAATAAGTAAAAATAAATTTATAGGAGGATAAATATTTATGTGACAGTTTTTCTTCCCTGTGATAAGAGCAGTTACCATGTTTTGAGCCCTTACATTGACCAGGTACTAGTCTTAACACTTGACATATTTTATCACCTCTAATTCTTACAGAAATCCAGTAATACCTTATTTTATAAGCAAAATAGGCTAATTAAGGTTCCTGCATTATATAACTTTAAGTGGCAAGTCAAGATTTGAACCCAGTATTCAGATCCTGGAAGCCAAACTCTTAACCACTGTCCCATTCTGCTGCCATCTCAGAGTTGTTAGGTAGTTTCTCTAGAGACAGTAATTATTCCAGAAAGAGCAGGTAATTGAAGTAATACCTGAAGAGGAAGAACAGAACTGAGATCCTGCTAGAATGTCATCTGCACTAGAAAAGCTCTAGAAGTAAGGAGCAAGTGGAGATTTCCAAAATACTGTGAAGGCCACGGTTTGGCAGGGTCACCATGCTTGCTTAATTCAGATTTTTCCACCATCAACAAATTTGCTCTCAAATTAGAGGTCAACAGCATAGGCTTATAGAAATATCCTCAGGGAGGATCCTTCTATATTTGTAGATGAGCCTCAATTGAACAAAGTAACTATAACCTTCAAGAATAAATGGAAGATTTGAATGGAATTAAACACACAATACTCAACTCCTCGGAGAAAAAAATAAAATAAGGCAGAAGAAAAATGGTTCATCAGAGGTATACATTGTACAGTAAAAGATTTGGAAACTATTATGAGCTTAAATGGAATTAGAGTGACCCATGAAATGTTTTTTTTTTTCCCAGTGTTAATACTGTTTTTTTCCCAGTGTTGGAATTAATCAATAGAAAATGCCCATTACCTAGTAGGCACTCAATAAATAGTTATTACTGCTATCATAACTAGGTTCATGATCTATAAAAGATAGAAAACAACCTTGCCTTGGCAATTGGTTGTGATCAGAGTTTATTAGAATTTTAAATCTCTTCCTTTAAAAAAAAGTAGAAAAGTTAGAAAGGGTTAAGGGTGGTAAAAA